TCCATGATTTGATCGGTATTTGTCGTCACAGGTCTTCCGCCGGCTGGCTTATCCATGGTGTCGTTTTCACCGGCTCTGAATCGTCGAAACCATTCCTCCGCGGTTCGAAGTGATAGAGTACAATCCCCCAAAATACCATTAATCTCACGGAACGTTTCTCTAGCGGATTTGCCTTTAACGAAGGGAAACTTTAAAATGGTGCGAATTTCGGCGTTAGTGAACTCCATGTTTACACGTCTATAACTGTTGAACGCAATATCCAAACTAATCATCCATAGCGTTGTTTTGTAGGTTATGTCAAGACCTTTCAAATTATGTATAGTATTGCCAGATACGAGCTCTGTAGCGCTTTGTACATATCCGCGAAATTCAAAAGACAAAAAAGCGGAAGGGAGATATTGGACAACCTAATATTTAAACTATATCAACCATTGCTCACAACTGTTCGTACATACTTTCATTACAGAAGACCTCATCAAAAAATTTTTTGGGTAAACATTTACTACTTTCTATTTATTTATATGAGATAACCAATTGGCTTTACTTATATATATTTTTTTTAATATTATTTTTTATTTGAAATCTTGGCTTATTTCTAATTTCAAATTATATTTAATTGCCAGCCGTATTTTTTTGGCCTTTACACTATCTCAGTAGGCTTAACTCTTCAGTATAGTGAAGACAAGGTCTCCAACTGTTTTCCGCTCTCTGCCAACACATGAGCTGTTTGAATATTTACTTAATTTAACATTTAAGTTGTGACTTAAATTGTCACTTTAAATAAATTTGAAATGATAAGAAAATATAAAAGAAAAAACAGTAATTTACTCGTTTACAATATTTATTTAATTATATGCAAATAAACTAACATAAAAGGAAATTTTTATTAAAATGAAATCACATTGCATTGTAATAATAATAAATGAGGTAAAAAAATAAACAGTAAAATAATTATATGGAACATTAAAATAAGTTAAAAAATAAAGATTAAATTAAATTGAATAAATTATAAAATAAATTAAATTAATTTAAATTAAAAAAAAATAAAATACATATACTATATTAAAATATATTATATTAAATTAAATTAAAGTATTATTTAGAATAAAATAAAACCAAATATAATAAATAAGTAAGAAAAATTAAGTACGAGTATAATTTAATTAAATTAAGTAAACTTATAGTAAGTAAAATAAAATAAAGTGAAATAAAAAAAAACTAAAACAAACTAAACTTAAGAAAAAATAAGACGGTATGAAAAAATTAAAATAAAAAAAATAAAAAAATATACAACAATTAACATTGGAATACAATTCAATGTAATAAATGTAACAGAAATATAAAATATTAAATAATATTTATTAAAATAACGAATAAGAAAATAAATTGAAAAAAATAAAATGCAATAAAATGCAATATATTGAAGTAAAATAAAATAAAATAATAATAAATTAAGCAAAGTAAAAAATTATTAAATAAACGAAAATAAGTTGAAATAAAATGGAATAAAATGAAACAAAATAAATTAATAAAACTGAATTAAAAAGTAAAATAAAGAAAAATAATTAGCTAAACAAAGAATTTAAAATAAGATAAAAACATGATTTTCAGCGTAATATAAGTTATTAATTAAATTTTAATAAGGTTCTGCATTCAAATTCTATTTAATTTCTTGCTGTCGGTTCCGACGGAAATGAAAATCGTTCTATAGATTTTTACGCTTGTAAGTATGCTACGATTATCAGTGGTCTGATATTTACAAATTTTTCGTTATCTATTAGTTTTTAAATCGTATCCGGTGAGTGACTGCGACATTTCTGTACGCGCCTAAATGCATGCAACGAATTTCTTGAACCTACCAGAGAATCTATAATAATTGTCTTCTCGTGTATATGAATTTGTATGTGCTTACGTATTTAGTACTGAATTCGTATACTTTACTCAGTGGGTTAGCCTTTACGCAATTTCACAGGTATAAGCAAACCGCATTCAGTACCAGCTGATCGTAGTTTTCTATACGCATGAGGGTAACCTTGGCATAATTTGTTATTTTCTAATTTTGTAGACATAGCGATTTAGTTAATACATCAAAAAACTATTAATAGCAAATCAAATTTATAAAAGTTGAAAGGTCGCCAAATCTGAAAGGATTAAGTTTTGTTTGGCCACCATGAAAATAATAAATAAATAATAATTTTTGATATATGTAAATAACTTAATTTCTGATCTATAAATTGTTTTTTTTTATATTTATTTATAAATTTATTTTTGTTATATTTTTTAATGTATCAATTTATTAGTGTGTATATTTATTTATTTTTGGCTTATTAATATTTTTTTTTTATTTAACTATAAGTTTTTTATTTACATGTTATGCATATAATTATTTTTTTAATACATATTAACATTTTATTTATTTATTATTTTTGAGTTTAATAATTTATTTTTTAAATTATTTATTTATTGAGTTGTATATTTATTTATTTTTAGCTTATCTAATATTTTATTTGTTTATTTCTTTTGCTATTTTTTTTGTTAATTTTGTTTAGTTTATTTATTTATTTGTTCAAATACTTATTTAATTATATAGTATTTCCCAGTTTTTTATTTATTTTGTATTTTATTTATGTATTAATTAATTTATTAATTTTTAAAAATATTTTTATATTTTTAATTATTTATTTATAGATTTTTTTGTTTGTTAATTTTCTATTTTATTCATTTATTTATTTTCTCAAAATTTTTCTGTTCAACACTTCGTTATTGCTATAAATCTATTCGAACTTGAATTTGAATATTGCTATTCTACAATGATTTGATCTTATGTAACTGATCATCTACCAAGCTCGCGATTTTATTCTGAAGCAAACGAAAAGGGATCACTACATAGTAGAGCCTTTAAATTTGAACGTTGTTGCTGTTCTAAAATAATCCCCAAATTCAAAGACCCATTTCTCGTGGGAATGATTGGATTTTAGTTCGATTCAGTCCGGATTCCAAAGTTCATATATTCTGATGATTCCAATTTTCTCTGTCTCTATAACTCTTCTTAAATATATCTCAAACACAACTTCCGACTTAATTCATAGTTCGAAAAAAGAGTGTGACCATCATAGCTCGTTAATATGTGTTATGAGTGTTTAGTACAGATAACACTCAATGACACTCATTAATGTAGTCCAGAGAACTTATAACATAGAGAAGGTTCAATTGCGGACCAGCGTGGAAACTGTCAAAAACGAAGTCGAGTCATGAAAGCGTATTTCACCACCGGCACAGAAATTAACAGAATTCGTCTATAGTGCTTAACATTTTGAGCGTAGCAACAAAAATTATGCTCACAAATGCAATTCTCAGCATTTAAATAACATTGTTATATGTTAACTTCAGGGAACGAATTTTTTGATGATTGTTATCAAAATAAAGGAAAATATTATTTAATTTTTTTTTTTTTAGATTGAAGAAACTGAACCAAATTTTACTAATATATTTCCTATGTTTTTCGAATTTCTGACCTAACTTATAGCAAATTTTAAATGTTTACCATCAAAAAGTGTCGAGTTGCCGTCGGCATTTCGCTATAGCGTTTATTTACAATAAGGGTTATTTAATTAATTAAGATGAATAATTTTCTTAACTTATAAGTCAAAAATACATTAATTTATAAATATGTACATATGTATGTATACCTGTACCATTCAAATTACTGACCTTCCCCAAGTAATATATGCATACAAACATATGTACATATATACTTTAATACATGCATATACGCATTTGTAAAAACATACAAACATATTACTTGTGTGAAAAATACTACTATCGCCCAAAAGCTAAAATCAAATACAACAATAACGTTTTCATTCATAGACGCCTGCGCCCTACAACAAAGCAAAGTGCGTTCATACATAAACACCTCCGTGCCATACCAACAAGTTGCTTCTTCGCGACAGTGTCAAAAACACAAACACACAAAATCATTATGGTCGCGAAAAATGAAGCAACAACAACATACATACAAAGCATGCCCTTCTCCTTCAACCCNCGCTCATACGTTTAAATCAATGAATGAATTTTAACTTGTTTGCTTACTTATTCCAATATTTACCCCTAAAGTAAATAATATTTAAAATAATTTAATTAAATATCTTTTGTTATGTCTAAAATATCATGACTACTATCAATTATGTCTCTAAAAAATTATTAGAAAAATGTGAAATATGTAGGTATATAAAAATCATATGATTTGGTAAATTAGAAAAATATTTAATGAAAATTACAAATTTTTAAAAGCCACTAAACAAAAGATGATAATATCAGAAAATTTTGATAATAACCCTCTGCATTCTAACATTTATCTTGCATAGGCTTATCAGTTTTACATTTATTTCGCATGCATTTTCTCATTTTACATAAAAAACTTGCTCATTCTGCTAGTTTGAGCACGATTTCTGTCTGCTCACTGTTAGAGTGCGGTGAAATACGCTTTCAGATTTGTGTGTTGAAATACGCTTTCATAACACGAGCCAGCGGACCAATTTGATAATCGGCACATCCTGGTGCTTCTCGTTATTATAAGTTCTCTGTGTAGTCTCATTGACTGACACCTCTCATATTTAAAAATTAAAACTTCTTTGTGTTTTAAAAGTATTTCAATAAATTTTTGTAATGGCAACTCTGTGCACCTCCTGCCCAGCAGAACAAACTTAACTATCGCACGCTCTACTAAAAGATAAAAAAAACGAAAAAAACAGGTAGTCAAACAAATTCGCTCACCTTTATGTATCTCAATTGTGCTTATTGTTGTCATTTACCGGCATACAATAAAACAGCCGCCTGCACTTCGCTCAAATTACCGGTCAGCCAGACCCAAACGATCGTACGCTCGCACCTTCTCTTGCCGCTCTCAATGTTTGCATTTCCCTGAAAGTGCAAAGTAAATGCTGGTGAGCACATTTTTGTATTTCACGCGCGCTATACGATACTACATCTTTAACTACATAACGCAGCTGCCATGCGCTCCTTCAACCAACAATCATGAACCATTTGGTCTTACCTAGCCGCTCACATGTGCTCGCGTGCTGCGCTGCCTAGTTACTCGCAGTTGTTTGGATAAAAAATACTTTTTACTCTGACGAATTTGAATTTTTAATATCTAAGCAAAGTTTGTTACGGACGGACGTGTGTGTTTTGGACGTGAAGTGCGGCAAACTACAAAAAATACTGTAAAGTGGAAAATAGCAAAATAAATAAAAATAAACAAAAAAAATTAACGTATTAACGTTACGGACACGCAATGTCCAAGTGGCGTGCAAGTGTTTAATCTCTTGTGGTGTGCATTTTTATTTTGTTATAATTTTTCGTTTACGGAGTGAAAACTAAAATTCATAAAAATATTATATGAGTATTTGAAAAATGTAAAAAGTATGGAAAGAAATACTTTCTAAGCTGTGAGGTGATTCAACAAGTGTATTGAAAATGTTGGTGGTGGAAAATAGAAAATAAGTGGTATAAGAGCAAAAAACGAAAATGTGGTAAATAAAGAAAAATTACGTTTGTTATTGTTTGGATTTGAAGAAGATTTTCTAAATGTGAAGTATTGAAATTGTGCAAAAATCGAAAAGTAATAAATAAATTACTTAAAAATATTTTAAACAATTAATTTTTTTAATTTGTTTCTTTTTTTTTTTTTTTTNGTTTTTTTTTTTTTTTTTTGTTAAGGTGTGAAGATTTGTCTATATATCTAATTAACTGTTAAATAAATACAATAAATTTAAAAAATAGTTTGCTATTTGGAAAAAATTACGTAAGAACTCTGTAAATGTTTATATATATGAAACAGTATTATATTAAAAAATTCCCGAAAATAATAAGAGAATGAAATTAAAATGATTTAAAAATAAATTATAATACATAAAACTACCAATTGGACATATTTAAAATAAATTGTTGTAGATAAAAACTTTTTATGAATAAAAAATAGAAACAATGACTAATGATAATAACTAAATGAAAAAAGTCTATGTAAATAACGAAACACTAAATAATAAATGTAAATATCATATATATATATATATACATATACGAGTGTAATAAAACAATATTCAAAATTCAATAACTGCTAAAAAAAATTACAAAAAGACAACTTAATAATAAATATTACAAATTTACGCTGAAAATTCAAAATTATATAAAATAAGGAGTATAATTGTATAATTGATTTAATTCAAAATTAAGAAAAAAAATGCTTAAAAGGTTTACATAACGAATTAAAATTAAAAACGAAATTGCAACAAATTTACTGGCTTGTTTAGAGATTAAAAAAAATACAATAAATTAAATTAGTAAAAATTTAAAATAAAAGTTTGAAATTTGGACAGGCAACTGATCCAGATTATGCAACAAAATAATATTTAAAATTCAATAAGTAGTTTCAAATAAGAGGCAAATAATTTATTATTATATTAAACATTAAGTCAAAATACAGAACAACAAATTTTTTAAGATTTATTCAAAATTAATATAAGTAAAATAAAAACCAAAATAAGAAATTTTTTATTTTTCGTTTAATAAATATAAACAAATATGTATATATTTGTATATATGTTTATACATACATAAATATATTTATATCAAAAATTATAATGACAAAAATAATTCAATGAAACTTTTTAAATGATTAACACTAAAATATAATTAAAAATTCATAAAATGTATCACTTTATATTCAAAGAATAATAATTAATAATTTATTTTTTATTTTGCTCGAAAAAAATTGTGCAAATTTATATCAAAAATTATATTAACAACAACCATTAAAAATATTTAAAAAAGAAATGAAAACTGAAAAGTAAAATAATTTAATTAAATGATAATTTAAAAGTTAAAAATAATAAAAATAATAAAAAATCAAAATTATTGAAAATTAAAAAAAAAATTATTAATTAAAATAATACAATTTTATTTTATTTAAATTAAATTCAGAAATTAATAAACAGTTGAAAAAATGTTAAACACAATTAAAGGCTAAATGAAAAGTTTTAATATATAATAAATATAAAAGTTAAGAATATAAAATAATTAATAAAAAATAATTATTACTACATATATGTATATTGATGTACTTATATACCTATGTACATACACGATCAACATTAGCATGAAGTAAACTTCAAACATTAAATTATATGGACGCACTATCGTTTCAAATAAAGATTTCGTGAATTTTTCTGAATTTTATGTGTTTTTTTAAACTATCCTATAATTTTTGAAAACTCACCTTTTACATAATAAAATCTACATTTGATTGAGATACAATAATTGTAAAGGCAGTAAAAATATTTATCAACATTATATTTGTTGATTAAAATACTAAATTTTAATTTTTTAAATAAATTATTATTACTACTTCATAAGGTTATTAAATTTTAATTAATTTTAAATTACGATAGGAATATTACATTTAATTATAATTAATTTAAAAGCTTAATTCAAAATTTTAAATTTCAATTAAAAATTTTTGAATTTTGCTCAACTAAAAATTTAATTAAATAATTAATAATAAAAATAGTAAAAAAAAATTTTAAATAATTAAAAAATAATAATTTAATTTAAAGCTGCTTTTTCGGGTCAATGTTTTGTTGAATTGTTTTTGGTATTGAATTTTATGGAACTGTCTCAGCTCATATATTTTTTGGAAATAGTGAAAAAATTACAACATCAGTGTTGGACGGTTTAATTTAGTTTATTTAATTTTAATTAATTTTAAATAACATTTAAATTACTGTTGTTAAATATTTAAAATTTTTAACTCAATAAAAAATATAAAATTGAATTTTGTTATTCCTTAATTGTGTTAAATTAATAATGTAATTAAATAATTAATAATAAAAAAATTTTAATTTAAAAACTCAAAGAAAATTAAAACCTATCAAACTATTTCAAAATAAGTAAAAAATATTTGAACTAAAAAAAAAGAAATTATTTTAAAAAATTTCTATTGGAAATAAGCAATTAATTAAAATTTTATTAATATAAAGTCGAAAAGTACCGCTTAGTAAAATCCATTTCTTTATATTTAATAGGAATAAATATAAGGAAGCAGTTTTATATGTATGTACATAAGTGTGTTTTAACTTTTTTATTAAAAGTGCCGTTACCAGTGCAAACAAATAACAAAGTAAAACTTCTAAAACTTTGCCGTTCTTTATTAACGAAGAATATTTAACAAAATAAAGTGTCAAAACATTGACCTATAAATACATACATATGTTTGGTTATGAGGAAATGTGCAGTTAAAAACATTGCGCGCCATTAACCGTTCCTTGCAGAGAAATAAAAAAAAATACACTACAAAAAGAAGCAAAAAAAAATTAAAACAACAAAAAGGTGAAAAAATTGATTTTAATAACTAATCACTTCCTCTTGACGCAACAAAAAAATAAATAATAAATAAAGAAACAAAAATAAAAACAACAACAACAGTGCACAGAGTGGTCAAACATATTGGGCAGTGGTAGGGAGCAAGACGAGTCATTCGCAACATTAGCCAGCTGTCTCGCCAGCATATGCAGAGTGTTATATTTATTTATATATTATACATACGTACGTACATAAACATATGTATGTACGAACAAATGTATGTGTACACGCATCGTATCTTTACATGCACACGTGTTAAGTGACGTGAACGTGACACGAATGTGATTAGTGAGTGAGCAACGCCGTTGTAAAAACAAAAAACATTAAACTGAAGTAAACCAACAACAACAAAAAGTTAATTGAAAAAACGTTTTTGTCGCCGCGACGCCGCAATTTGCATACCTACCACACGCACGAAGGCACAGACACACACACACACACACACACGCACGTGCGCGTTTGCTTACAACCAACATGGAAAGCTCACCGAGCTCTTCAGCAAGCTCCTCGCCGCCAGATTTCGATTTCAGTTTGCCTTGTCGCTACTTCAAAAGCAATTTCGCACGTTCACTCTCCATGCATCAGGGTGCCGGCATAGCTGGAGCTGCTTGTGGCAGCGCTAATGATATGCAATGCAAATCATTGGATTTCGATATCGGTCAATATCGCAGAATTAGCGCTTTTAATGATGTCAACAGCAACAATAACAACTGCAACAGCCTCGAGTGTCCGCCATTGCCGGAGCGCCGCCGACAGGTAGCCACGCCAGTGACCACAACTGCGACGGCTGCTGCATACAAGAATGAGGCCAACAACAGTAGCAGCAACAGCAGCAGCAGCAGCAATAACATCACCGTAGCTTACTTAAAACTAAACGATGTGACTGCGGATGGGCAAGAGGTGGATGATCAACCGCCAGCCATACCAGCGCGTTGTCCCATTATCACAAAATCAAAGTCAGCCGGCACATTGAATATACAGCAGCGACAGCGAAAACAACAATTTCTATTGGCACAATATAGGCTAGCCGATGAGGATGTGGAGGAAAGCGAGAATGCGGCGATTGCCACAGGCACTCATGGGAATTTTAACAGGCCAATTAATCAGCAGCAGCCGCAGTTGCTGCAGCAGCAACAACAACAACAGCAGCAGTTGAATAGCAGTGCAAATAACAACAATAGTAACAATAACAGCAACAGCTTTGACGGCAATGAAGATGCCACAAGTGTTGGCATAAGCCGCTGCAATGCAAGCAATAGAAGGAATGTTTGGCCTACAGACCGCGATGCCGGGCAACAGCAACAACAACAGCAGAAACAGCAACAGGTTTGTTATTTGGTTTACTTGAAATTTCTTCTTCTTTTTTTTTTTTTGTTATGCCTACAGACATGCCGACATGCATAACTACCTACATTCATTCTATCAATTGGCCTCCGTAGTCTGTCTGCGCACAGTGGTGTGAGAGAGCTAAAAGTGATTTAAATTGAAATTTTACGACTCTTTCTTAGCTAATTGAGTGGAAATTGTAGGTAGGTTTCTAGAATCAAGTAGTTAATTTTTGGTATTTATGATACTAGTATGAGATTAGTAATTTTTCGGTAAAAACATGACAAGCGCCATCTGCAAAACTGTTAATAGTAAAAATAAGAAAAAAACAAATTTTAACTTTGGTTTCATATGAACTAGTGATATTTTTACCAATTTTGGGCTAGTATGTGACTAGTATATTTTTGATGAAAATGCTTACTTTTTTCAAAATAACAAACAAATGTTATTATTAATTTTGGCTTGCCAAATGAGATTGTCAAAAACCGCGTATTAACCCATAAATAAAATTAAAAATAAAATATTTAAGTTACCAATTTTACCTCCCTCCGACCCACTGTTTGTCAGCTGGCTTGTTTTTCTTCTTCTTCTTCTCCTTCTTGTTCTGCTTTCATCGCATTTGCGCGAGTTTTAGAGCAAGATTTTCTATATTATTATTTTTTTCTGTTTTTCATTAACTTTATTTTGTAACTTTTTTCCACGCATTCACATTTTTATTCGCGCATAGCAAATGCTTATACATATGTGTGCATGTGTGTAATAAATTTTCCTTTTCTGGTGAAATCATTTCTATTTCACGTTTCTATGTCTCGACGTTAGCGAACGGCCGTCGACGTGAAATGCGAAAAATGAGGTTTAAAGTGATGGAAAATTCAAATACATACATACATATATAAATATTTATTTATACATATGTATGCATGCATATAAATACATTTTCTAAGCAGTTATTTGCAATCAAACATCTTTGTCTACTATGTGAGAACAGCTATCCGCTCCATTTAATCAGTGTCTTAACATTTTAGTGCAGCTAAATTTATATGGGGACTATATTACGAATCGGCCTTATAAGGAAGGGTCTGTGACGTTGGTTGCTTTGACCTCATTGCTCTTGCTTGATTTGCGATTACATATATATTATTCAATTGTTTCGAGGTAATTATGTATAGAAGACATACAATACATACATTCTCCGGTGGCTTATCGAGGTTCTAGCTATAAACGGAGATACGTACACTTTTAACCATCCCCAATCAAGTTTTGAAACCACTGAATGTATCGCAAGCGCCTAACTCAGGTCTCAAAACCTATTTTATTCCCTCTCCTCACAGAGAGAGAGTGAATGTACTTTGGAGTTTTAGGCTCTTCTGCAAATTACAGCGGCTATGGAAGACACTCATACAGGGAGAGATACCAGTTGTTAACATGAATCCAACTCATGTAAACAACTGGCATTTTCAGCGCGAGATGCCCTACAAGCTATCAGTTGTCAGTTTATGCATCAGTTGCATACCAGTTGAATGCCAGTTCATGCATACCAGTTAAAATACTGGTTCGCTCATACCAGTTGAGAACTAATTCACCTCAGACCGTCTGCATTATACTAGACAAAAAGTAGTTCAATTCATTCCGGCATTCCTAAAGGCTTAAACAATTTTAATAAATTAATTTTATGTATTTGAAGTTTAATTAGGATTTTTCTTCATTTTTTAGAATTGATATAAAAAGCCACAGCAAATTGTGGTTGTTTTTTTTTTACACAACGGCAAACTGGTATGAATTTGTTCGTAAAAATACTAGTATAATTCTAGTCTCTGACAAGCTAGTATGATTTCGTCTTCAAATTATCAGTATTCAATTAGAATTTTTCCATACCAGTCTACCTTTTCCCTGCAGAGATTTAATGGTACAACTAGAAGATCAGCTTATCTACTCAGTAGAAAATGTCTGGTAAGCAGACCTTAAATTGGGATAAGTCTTTTCTCAAGTTACTTTCTAAAAACTCATAACACATTGTCACCTTATGGGAATTATTATAGTCATTCGTAAATTATACATTTTCAGTATCTAATCACTCTCCTTACATACCAAAATTAGTACACTTCCCTTCAATGGGGACCGATGACTGATATTCCCAGGTTAGATTTTATCAGCTTTATAATCCCATGCAGTGTATAATAACTTGCCTCAAATACCTTAAGCTGCCTTCCTATCAGAAAATATGGGCGAGAACCAAGGTCAGAATTAATTGTGAAGATATTTATATATATACAAATAGGTATGCTTTCGAAGCAAATACAAGCGCAAAGCTTATTCTGCGATCTACTCAAACAAATAAATTGGCTTCAAACTCAATGACTACCTCCACAAGAGGCTCAAGAGGTTGTGGGCATCACTAAAGGCACCAAAAGGGCAAACGCTCTAGTCTCTGAGATTTTTTAGCAAAGAGAAAAGGTAATTAAATGTGCCAAACTAATTTCAATTATGTTAGGATTTGTAAGGTAATAATTTTAAATTTCATGAAGAAAAGACTGCGGGAAGCGTCCAAATTTATTTACAAAACAATAGTTCGGTTCCCGTGATGTATTGTGGGATATTTTTGTTCCGTGACGAAACTCACTTTTTTGAGCCTCTCGAATGAAACTTTTTCAAGCCAAGCCTGAGATTATTTTTCAAACATAATGGCAAACACTTTTCTTTATGATACAGGCAAGCATGGGTGAAAGAAAATAAGGCAGTTATCATATCAAGCGAACTGCATGCTAACGCAAAGGTGGGGCCAATTGTGGTCGTATCCTTAACCTAATTCTTTGTTCTATTTTAAACTAAAAAAGTTACTCTAAGACCAAAGAGAAAGAAATAATTACAAAAGTAAAAATGCAGTTAGTAATAAAGCAATTGTCATGACGCCCAATGAGATGTCCATTTATGGCCAAGCCAACATTAAATGTCAACCAACAACCAAAAACTTAGCTGTACAGGGACGACTTAAAAAGAAATTTGGGCCCCAGAAGAGAATGGTCGAAAATCACTTCAGTGGTTATTGAATATCCAACTTCTGGTAGATTTAGATCTTATTTTCGGTTTTATCCAATTGAGGCAGAAATAAGTCATTTTAGAACCAGAAAAAAACATTTTATCAGCTTTTTTTTTTTTGTGAAATTTAAGGAAATTATTGCGGTAAACGGTATTTTCAGACAATAATTTAATATGTTTAGCCTTCAAAGAAATTCTTTAGTAAAAAGATTGGAATTTTTTAATGATGTTAATGAGTTTTCAGAAGCGGCTGCAGTCTGAACTTGTGAAACAGTGCCGGTGATGGAGATCGCGCAATGCATCTGAAGCAGTCGAATCAAATTTTTCTGCTTAATTTTTATCAGTGTCTCTTCTATATAAACTTAAAAAATGCCGAAGAAGTTTGAAAACTTTAAATTTCTTCGTAGTTTGAAGAAAAAATTCACTTCAAGTTGCAAAAAATTAGCTTAAATGATGCTTTTGTCCAACTTCTTTAGTTCTAATAGAAAATAATTTATTACTGAAAATAGGTCATATTGATTTTTTGATCGGACATATGTATGTATATTATTTTTGCTATCACCGGCACCGTTTTCTAAGACTTGTAAAGAGCAAAACGCGAGAAAACGCGTTTCAAAATTTTGTTCGAGCTTTCGAAACTGATCGACGTTGGGCCGCTAAGCTCTAGCTTCTAAAATGGGTCGAATTGACCACTAAAATTTTGAAGACATACTTTTGTATGATTTTAGATTAGATTTAAAAAAATATGCATTTTTTAAAGCCTCTACAGCAGACTACTGCCTTAAGGTGCTTATCTCTTTTCATCATTACTGGCCGAATGTCATTTATTCTTTCAATATATTTTATATATGAACGCCCTCCTACTGCAATATGGCACAAGCGAACGAAAAACTGAAACATACTGAAACAGCATTTCATATAATTCCATCAGCGGGGCTTTATACAATAAATCAAAGAGATTTACTTTTACTGCAGTCAATTAGAGACATAGCGAACTTGAATAACAATAATTTGAATTGCATGTTTTTATATATGAAATGCCTATATATATATATACATATTTACATATACGTGTATGTATGAAATTTGCTTTTCTTTTTGGAACGCTCAACTCTTAATTTATGATGAATATGAGTAGCCTGTCACGTAGTCCATACTGGGAAAGATGCACATACCTTGTATATATGTCAATGGAGACAAATGTAGTGCGGCAAAATGGCACAGTAGACATTGTTTACATATTTGGTGTTGCAACTAATTAATAACTGTGAACAGGATGATTTTGGTATGACATTTTAAGTGGAAACGTGCTCCTTAAGCAGTTGGAAAATGTGTAGACAAGTGTTTTTAGGTGTTGGACTAATGTTAGGAATTGAAGGTGTATGTATGTTTTAGATACATAAATACATGCACATATGTACTTATTAGGTAAATCAAATTAGTAAAAGTTTATATTAAAGACGATAGTTTAAACTATTTTATGACATGTAATCAGACCATAAACCTACTCATTTTAATTTCACCTACATGGTTTATTCGTTGCTCTCTTTTCTAATAAATACTAAATACACATTTTCAGCTGTGCTTGGTATTTCAAATTTTTTCGAATTATCTTTAATTGTCCCATTATTAAATTCAGTTCATGAGCGTTTCCTAAAAGGAAATTTTCCTGCTTTTTAGGAGCGATTACGTTGACAATTTCGTTGAGGCTTTTCAATCAACTTGAAGTTTTTGCTTTCAGCAATTCCTTAAAATTTAAATTTAAACCGCCGAAAATGCAGTGATTGGCTGTTATAGTATCAGGACTATAAACGCTATTCACACTCTCAGCTTTTCCGCCTTTATCGAAGAAAAATTGTAGAACGTGGCATATTTTTTCTTTCCTGTGGCTCATATTTGGCATACGCTCAAAAATTACTGGTCAATACTTCTCGGATTATTTTTTTTAGTCCAAAATATCATCC